TATATATATAGCATAAAGTATACACTGATCTATTTTTTAAGGTATAAGGCATTAGAATTCAAAAGTTATCTTATTTGAATTTTAGCAACCCTATAGAGTGGAAGAAACTATTTTTGCTGCCTTCAAATGAGGAAACTTACTTTGTCCATGTTCACTTGGTCATTAGTGCCAGAATCAGAGTTCAGATCCTCTGATGGGATGCGTGATGCTTAGGGATTGTCAAGCAAGGGGACAATCATACTCTTTCTTTTAGGGAGCCTCCTTTCCTTCTGGCTGGAAAGTACTAGTTCATAGCAGTAGAACAACACATCAGTTGTTATAATTTATAAATGAGGATAGAAAGTGAAATAGAAGCAAATGAATTGTATTTAGGGGTGAGTCAATGAACTGGGCTTGGGGCTTGAGCTTTTCTCCTGTAGTTACTTTTATGCCTACCTCTGGATCCCTACCTGTACTCTATTATTATTCAAACATAGGGTACATGATCTTACAATAGTTAAGTTCCATACCTTTTAGCAAGTAACTTATATAAGAAAATAAGAATTTAGGTCATAATTTACTTCCATAAATTTGGCATTGCTGAAATATTTTTATATGATTTTATCTTAAATTTGAAAAGTTCTAATTACCAAGTCTCAATTTTTAAGATATTTTACTGATCTACCAAGTCATTTATTTGTGATTTAAAAAATGATTGTGGTTGTCAATATTACTGCATAGTTCTTGAAGTATTTGTATTTACAGTTAAGGTACTATTAATTATTTGCTAATAAAACCCTAATAAATGCATTTTTACCTTAGAGTTTAAAGCTTTTAATGAGGATGACCTCCTGTGGCCTTGTTTTCACTTACTGCTCATTGCTAGTTACTCTTCCTGTTAGAGAAAGAGCTCTTGAACCTGCTAAAGAAACTAAATATTTAATCATGTTCTTATCTGGTGTATTTTATGTCAGAATTGTATTATTTGCCTAATTGAGATGTTAATCTATGGAAATAAGGACCTCACCTCTCGTATGTCTTCAACTCAACATATTTGAGCCTTAGGCAATGGCTGGCCATTTGCGTAGTTCATGATAGAAAATACCAGAGTCTAAATCTTTTAAATCTTCTTGTAATTGCTAATTATGAAACAGATAGACAAAGAAAGTATTTTTTATAAAGGCCTAGAAAATGTCATTTATTCTTTTCCCTTTTTTATTCTCTCCTATACATCTAAGGCATTATATGTTAATAAGGTTAGTACAGATATGATCTATAAAATTGGAAATATTATTAGCTAATACTACATCCTGAGAATTAAGAATATCAATGATTGCTATGATTTTATTCTTTTATAAATGATAAAGCAAGGTGGCAACTTTCTGTTGTTGTCATTTGGCCATTAAACTGACACATGGCTGTTAGTCAACCAATGAAGATGAGATATCCCAGGGACGTATCTACTGGAAGAACATTTCTTAGTAGATATATTTGTACGTGGCTTTTTTCCCCTGCCAGTTTGATCTTGTGAAATATAAAAGATTAAAAATAAATAAATAAAAAAGCTGGGTTTGGTGGTCCAAACCTGTAATGCACTTTGGGAGGCTGCACTTTGGGAGGCTAACGCGCAAAGATCACAACTACAAGCTCAGCCTGGGGAATTTAGCAACTTATTGATATCCTGTCTCAAAATAAAAAACAAAAAGAGGGCTGCGGATGTAATTCTGTGAAGGCCCTGAGTTTTATTCCCAGTACCACAAAAACAATGAGCCCTGATCTCTGGCAGATTGCCATTTGGCGGCAAAGACAGATTTATTCCTAATGTCAATTCAAGACAGACTGACATTAGTTACGCCA